GTTATTCAGTGTAAACAACACAGAATTCCAGGTGGATATGAGAAAAAATCTAAAACAGTAAAAAAAATTATCTTAGTGCTGGAGTGATGATTCCCATAATCACTAAAAGGAATTATCTAATTTGGCATGTTAAGAAATCAGATGAAACCTGAAAAATGACTGTGAATTACAGGGAATTAAACAAAGTTACTCTCCCATTGACTGCTACAGTCCCAGATACCATCATTTTAATGTAAAAGGTCACAAACATAAAAGCGTGTTCTTGATAAGGAAAGTTAAAAAAAAGAGATACTTTTAAAAGGATATGATTTGTAAAAATTGTTTATCTTAATGGCTGGTTTATACTGGAAAAAAAAGGGAAAAGAAAGGTTTGAGCAAGTTACAGAAGGTGTGAGAAAGTCGCAAAATGTTATGGAAAGAAGAAATCTTTGGTTATTTTCTTTGACATAAAATCAAAATCTGATCCTCTGTTAAAGCAATGAGTTAAAGTAATCTATTATGTTCTCTTGATGTCTCTGTTAAATTCTAACTGCTTAAAAACAGCTGTAAAAAGAGCAGTGGTGAAATGGAGGGATCCTATCACCAATCAATGGAATGGACCTGATCCAGTACTGGTATGGGACAAGGGCTCCTAAGGGATGGGTTTTTCCATGTAACCAACATGCCTTTCTGCAATTGCTCCCTGGGCCGTGTGGCCCTGATGCTAACATCTGTATTTACAGCAGCGGATAGAGCACGTCAGTGGTGTGCTTTACCTGAAGACTACAATAACAACGTCATCCTAATAGGAGAGGACACTGCCCTTGCCATGGCTGCATCAGTAGTAAGTGTTCCTGGACTGGCTTTTGGAAATAATCGTGGACTATAAAGGCTTACATGTTTGGTGACCAAAGCAATCAATCTTACTGCTACTGTGCTATCCAATATAGCCAAAGAATTAGATCAAGTTCACTCAGGAGTGCTTTTAAGCCATGCAGCTAACAATTACTTGCTGTTAAAAAAAATCATATAAGTTGTAAATCTGTACCTGGGGGATGTTATTTTAACATTACTAACAATGTACCATATATAGAGTCTGTTATTGATAAACTTAAGAGTAAAATACAACATATGTTTATTACTAACCCACTATTCATTTGAAGGGTTTCAATGGATTCATTGGTTATTAATGTTGGCTGGACTGCTACTGCTTTTCCCACTTTGTATGGGATGTCTTCCGTGTGTTCTGCATTTTATGCTGACTTCCCTATAGTATAAATGGACTGAGATTCATCATTTAAAACTTCGTACCAAGCCTCCTTTGTAATCAAAATAATTGATATTTGGCTGTATGTTTCATCTCTCACCTAATGTTGGGCTGGAATGGTACTCAAAGACGGGTAAGACGCTCAGCATCCTGTACCAACCTAAGACAGGGCTCTAGGCCAAGCTGCCAGAGTTACCGATGACGGGTAAGGACAGAGATGACTGAGGGCAACCTAAGACAGAGGCCATTCTCAATTTAATAAAAAAAGGGGGAAATGTGGGGACCCATGGCTGGCCATGGGCCCACATGCTAAGGCCTGGCTTGCTGATCATTGGCATTAGTCCTCACGCAACACTATCAAGCCCTGGCCACCAGTGACCGTATTAAAACCCCTCATTAACGGCACACAATTTTAGGATTAAAATTAGTTCAAAGAGAAAATGGGGGAATGAAAGGAGCCAAGAGCCACCATAAAAAAAATGGGGCTCCTAAGACAAACCGTTCCAGAGACGGCCTTGGGAAATGGGGAGTAAACCGGTTCACAGAGAAAGCAGTCAGCTACTAACCAGAGATACACAGAACACCTGCCTTGTAGATAAGCCCCTTCCCTACGCTTGCTCAAGGTTAACAAAGAAAGCTGCAAGGCACGTAGCAACCTATTCCTCTCTCCTAGAAACCCCCTCCCCTAATGTATCCCTTTGACCTAGTACTTTTCCACCGACATTACCACTTTTAGACTGCCATACAAGGCCCGCTACTGAAAATTATCCAATGAACTTACACCAGCCTATAATATGTTAATTTTGTGGTTTTGCCCTTTAAAAGCTGTGTGAGATAGCTGCTCGGGGCTCCTCTCGCTTGCTTGCTGCTTGCAGCAGTAGAGGGCCCATTTGTACAAATGAAATAAATTACCTCCTGTTCTATTGCATCGTCTGGTCCGGAGTCTGTGTTTCTGGGGTCGTCACAAGAGGACACCGCTTTTGGGGTCCTACACTAGAACCCAGCTGAAAAATTAGACTTTTGCTTCCACATAAGTGTTCCTGCCAAAGAGCTAGCCTACACGCCCAGCTCCTACTGATACTGCGGGCCCTGTGGAGTCCACCTGATGCACTGCCACCCCCTTCCACTCCAATCCCTGACCCAGGCAGCTCACCAGGCCACCCTGGTGTGCAGGACCCTCTATCGTACCCATCTTGGTCCATCTTGACAGCCTTCCTGGGCTGCTCCCAGCAAATCCCTCAAGCCCAGCCCATCCCCTGCCCTGTGGGTGTGCATGCACAGCTGGTCCCACCCAGCTGTGCACGAGCACTTGAACATCCGCATGTTTCCATGTGAAGTCCCCCTCCCCTCAGGAGTCCTGACATAACAGGACCAAATCCCTTCTGCATTTGGCTTTTTATCCAACCTGATGCAGGCACTTCCCCCACTACGCTTCTGGGCCCCTGCCTCTGTTCCCTTCTTCTTTCCATGGCGGAAGTGCGTGGAGCAAAAGAGGGAAGCAGAAGGGACCATAACCAAAGGAGAAACAAAGGCACCAGAACTCTTGACATAGACTCTTGACCCGAACATAGGCAGCCACAGACAGAAGAAAGAGCATATCATCACAGAGTGGGGAACACCCCCTGCTGGGAAAATCACAAGAACTAGCGCCAAGGGTTCACTGGCTTAGCCACCTGCAGGTCATGACTGACCTTGAGTTAGTGTGATCTGGGCAGAGTAGCTATGAGGGAGGCAGCCAGACTGCAGTGGTCAGTGAGACAGCAGATGTAGACACTGCTTTCAAGAAATTTGGCTGTGAAAGAGAAGAGAGAAATGAGATACTGGGCATCCAGGGAGAGCTATTTGCTCAGAGGTAGGACAGGCTAGCAATTCGGGCTAGCTTCTGTCTTTCAGGAGGGAGGCAAAGTCACCTGCTCAGAGTAGGACAAATGGTGTCAGGATTAAAGTCCTGGGAGAGCTGAGACCTGTAGAAACAGTGCCTGTGTTGAGTGCCAGAGAAAGGCAAGCTGTACCAGAAATAAGAATTTCCAGGTGGGAACTGACACCCAGAGGACTTCGGCCAATGCAGACATCTGGGAACACAGCCCTGGAAGGAAGTGTGCGTGCTTGTGTGTGTCCCAGCAAACTCAGTCGCCCAGGTCCAGTCCTACAGGTGGCAAGACACCCATCTTGTCTGATAGCATCAGGTAGCCTGCCATGTTGCCTGCCCTTACCACCTTGACCATCGGCAGCTCAGGAGGCAGAGATGGTGCTGCCCGCCATAGATATACAGCCGGAAGGCTCCTTAAAAATCATCTAGTCAAGCCACTTGATTTTTCACAAAGAAAACCCCAGCGTAGCCCTGTTCCCCACCATAGGATGGCACCAGCCTGCCCCAGAGGGCACAGCCCTGCCCTCTTTGACTCTAAGCTTGAGTGTGAATCGGGAAGGGCAGCTTCACCTCAAGCCCAGGTGTGGTCCAAAGATGCAAAGCAGAAATATCATTTGATTTTCAAAGCTACATAAGCTCCCAAGTGACGCTAAGCTATTTACCGACATTCCTTACAGCTGCAGGCACGGGGCTCAAAGGACCAGGCACAGGCTCTGCCTTTGCAATTCCAACAAGCTCAATCTTTTTGGGTTTGGGCAAAGCTTCTTCCCAACTGGGGCCCTGCAATCCGGGGGGAAACCAGCAGAGGGCCATCTGCACCCACTGTTTGCTTTTCTAGTATGGCTTGCAGTTTGGAATGAAATTCAAAATGCTCATTTTAAATATCTGCTTTAGCAAATAGATACTAACCATTTGTTTTCCAAATGGTCGAATCGCAGTCGACAGTAGAGAGACCATGGAGAGAAAAAGAGGAGGAACCTGAGAAAGAAACTACTGTGCAAAAGGGTAACGCAGATGAGAGGCTCCTCATGTCTCCTAAACACAGGCCAGAAAATGGGATTTTCTGACTTCACAGCAAAAGAAAAAAAAGGGTGCCAGCTTCAGAAATTTCAATAGCAAATTCAGTCTCTAGTCTTTATAACTGAGCAGCTTTTCTAACAATACAAGAAGGTAAGCATATCCCAAAAAAGGACTTACTCAACGGTGGCCACTGGGAATACAAAACAGACACCATCCTGCCTTCCAGAAACTGATCTAACAACGGTAAAAGAAGGTACTGACTCAGGAGCGCTCTATGCATCAAGGGTGATCCATTCTTACATTATCAGTATAACTGGAGTAAAAGGCTCCTGTCGGGGATCAGAGATGACACCTGAGTCAAACCACATCGTGGAGCACTGGAAACCAAGGCAGGGCATGCAGTAGTTATTAGGTTTATAAGTAGCCATTAACTTTACAAATGTATCACCAAAGAAGGTACCGAAGTCCAAACCACTGGCATGCAGATCAACATTTCTCCTTATCCGCTTTTACTCTGTCCCTACCAGGAACATCTCAGGCCCACTATCAGGGAATCTTACTGGGACACAAGTCAAAATTAGGCTACTCACTATAGAGTGCTTCAGAACTAACTATTTTGAAGTTTTGAATCAGAATGGCATTCTCATAAAAAGTCTGATTTGTTGAAGTATACGCCACATTTTAGCAAACTCAGGCATTGTCCTGAGAACTTGGCCACCGTTTCTACAACTAAGAAACACAAAGCTAAGGCTAAACACAAGGGAGGGGGCAGTTTCCATCTCTGACCTCATCAGCCTTTACCCTCAGTCCACCTCATGGCTACCACATCCCATCAACACAAGAGTAAGAATCCCCAAAACTTACACTATTCTCGGAGGTTCTATGGCTTCCACTGTGGGGTCACAAACATTCCCAGAAACTCGGGTGTACTTTCAAGCCACATTTCAGATCCCCACACTGGGAGTAGACGAGAGTTGTGTGAAACCACGTTGGCTGAATCAGTTGGAAGTTCCAGGGATTCCACCCCCAAAACGCTCCTAGGAGATGGAGTCTAGAACTGCTTCCAGGAATTTCAGAACAGCTTCCGGAAGTGCAGAACTGCTTCCAGGGCCATGAAAGAAATTGATGAACATCCGGGGTTAAAGGACAGCCCAAGAAAGTGTCCTGGCTTTTCAGCTGCCCGTTCAGCTCGGCAGCCTCTTAGAGAAATTTTCTTCTAAGTGCATCAAGATTCCCAAACTCTGCTGGTCCACCCAGACCGGTTTCAGGCAGTCTCCATTTTCCTCAAACCTCCACCTCTTTCTGCAGCGTGCTCTGGCTGGTGGTCTTATCTCAAATACTACAGAGAAGCTAGTGCCCTCCGCTCCGTTCTCTTTCCTACTAAGCCCCGGGGTTTGAGTTCTGTCCCCATTGTGCCTTCCTAGGAACCATACTCCATTTACCCTCTTCCTCCTCTTAACCTTAGGCTCTCCCAGCAGGACCCCCTCCCTCCAGTTCCCACACACGCTGTTTCTTCCTGAACGGGCTGACCACTGGCTTTCACCCATCCACCAGGCTCACACCTCTCCCCTCCAAGCATGCTTCTCGCCACCGAACAGCCCTTCTTTGGGCCCAAAGTGACTCGCACATTGATCCTTCCGCTGTCTTTTCCCTTTAGACTTCCCAGCAGCCTTACACGGAATTACCCACCTTGTTCCTGAGTAACTGCTCTCTGTATACCTTATACCATAAGCCATGTTGTCTGAATTTCCCTTGAGGCCCTCTCCTGCTCTTCCTTGTCCCTAAACTTTCAACATTGGAATCCATCAAAATTCTGCCCTCCTGTGGTCCATTAGTAGCTCACCTGCTGCTTGCACCCCTTTAGGGCCTCAAGGCTGCAGGAGTGTCTGATTGAGCTCTTTGTGGGCTTTGGAGAGGTGGGTGGCAGTCACATCACAGTGGGCCCAGATCCATCTCTTTGTCCACCTCTGTTGTCCTCGGATCCTTGTTATGCCCCCACTCACAAGTGTCTTAGTTTGAGCTGTAAGAACCATGGCCACAGAGCTGTGGCCAACTTCAACAGGCACAGGCTGAAAGTGCCACCTCCCCTTTTCCTACCCCTACCCACATGCCTGGACAGGTCACCATGTGTCCATGCTCGCACATGCATGAGCCTAGAATGCCCAGGAATTGGCAGCCCCATCTAGCATGGGAACCAGCAAGTGAAGTAGCCCCCTTTTCCACTGCAGATGGAACACCCTGGGCTTGGTGGGGCCTCTCTGAGGCACAGTTTAGGAGACTGAGAAGTTGGTCACCCTCAGTGACATAAGTTCCCTGATAGAGATTCTCCATCTCCCACTCCTCTTTAGCCCTACTCCTATGCCTTCTTTCTGCCTTGGGCTTTGATTTCTAGAGAACCTAGGTGCAAGTGAGGATTTGCTTCCATCCAGCACTAAAGGGAAGCATGAAAAAAAAGTAGGGGAAGGGAACACATTTGGGCTCCGTGCAAGACCCATCTAACACCACAATCAATTATGCAATGGTCTTTCTTGACAACTGATGAGCTCTGTCACCAGCAGAGGTAAGACTACGAACAGCCAGCCAGTCACAGGTGGGCTGCGAGGGTTTGAGAGAAGACCCCAGCCTCCAGCGAGGCTGGGCAAATCCTTGTCTTCCCCTGAGCATTCTATAATTCTGTATTTCACAAAGAGCTCTTTTGTATGTCTGTCTGGTTAGAGAAAGACACTAAAATGTGGATACTTACTTAGTTTGCAAACCTTAACTCAAAGAGCTGTTTTCTATGAAGCTTCTGGCTTACCATGGTCCAAATAAAGGTATCATAGCCAGAAGATCAAGACTGAGAAATGATTAAAGATACAATATTCCCAAGCCTTCTTGACTGCTATCACATGCACACTCCATCTGCAAAGTGCAGCCATCCTGAAAGTCCCATCGGCTTGTAGGTAGCAACACAACTCTCTGAAATGTATGCTTTTTTTTCATGTTCCTTTCGATGTATCATCCCTGAACTCATTGACTAATTTTATTTTTCCCAGTTAGTTTTCTTTGATTTATGCACATTCAAAGATAAAATTCACACCAACACCCATACTCACAAGGCAGAGTTGGGTTTGGGATGGGTGGTTTTCAAACATGAAGTAACTTCCTCAGAGGATCTGGCTATTCATCGTGGTGTAGACACAAGCCTTCAGGAGGGAAAAGGACATGGATCTGGGAGCATCAGGGGCCCTCCAGTCCATAAGAGAAGACTCGCGGCCGGCGCCGCGGCTCATTAGGCTTATCCTCTGCCTTGCGGTGCCGGCACACCGGGTTCTACTCCTGGTCGGGGCACCGGATTCTGTCCCAGTTGCCCCTCTTCCAGGCCAGCTCTCTGCTGTGGCCAGGGAGTGCAGTGGAGGATGGCCCAAGTACTTGGGCCCTGCACCCCATGGGAGACCAGGAGAAGCACCTGGCTCCTGCCATCGGATCAGCGCAGTGAGCCGGCCGCAGCACGCCGGCTGCGGCAGCCATTGGAGGGTGAACCAATAGTAAAGGAAGACCTTTCTCTCTGTCTCTCTCACTGTCCACTCTTCCTGTCAAAATAATAATAATAATAAAATAAAGAGAAGACTCACCCACCTACAAAGTCAACAATGAAGCCCAAGGGGTCCAGTAAGCTCAGGCCTGTTAATACTAGAAGTGGTCTGCTGCCATGGGCAGATGCAGGCATAGAGAGCACAGCTCTGGGAAGTCCTGAGCAGGTTGGTGCCTTGTTTCCAGACATGGATGGCAGGGGGAGCCTACCCCTGCCAGGAGGACCAGGGAGTCAGGCAGCAAGTCAACATGCTTGGCACTCAGGCTGGAATTTTGTGGGCAGTGCTCTAGGGCCTACAAAGGCCTGGGAGGCTAGACAGGGAAACCAAGGCAAAAACTCATTCACACAAACTGGAGCAAAGGAGAGGAAGCATATGAGCTGCTTAGTAACTCCTGGAGAAGCACAAATCCCCGCATCACGCTGAGTAGAATGACTACAGTCTCAGGCTGATTTTACTCCTTGGGCCCTGGTTAAGATTAGCTAAGGAATGTAGGAAAGAAAAATACGTAGCTTGGACCCAACACAAAGGCCAGCGGAAGCAGCTGAGGAAGACACACTTGGGGAGATTTTTCCTTAAGGCCCAACTGAATTTTCTTTTCCATTCAAGTACTCATCTGCCATTCACCAGAGACAGGTCCTGAATCTAGCTGGGAAGCCCCAACCTGCAAACCCCTCAACCCAGCACTGCATGCACATCTTGGTTTCAGCTGGATCCTCACTGGAACAACCTCATGAAGCAGCTTCTCCCTCCCCACACTGTGGAGTACATGTTGAACTTGGGTGTAACACAGACCTGAGTCATGGCAGAGTTCAATATTCCTTGCACCTACTCCTCTGCCTCCTTCATGACCAGGACAAGACTTCTTTTCCAGGCCAGTTCTCTCACATTAGCCATCGGCCACATTGGGGCATCTGTGTGTGCAACACACTATGAGCATCAGGACCATGCACAGCCCAGGACCCTGGTTCTCCAGCTACAGAGCCCTCTTCTCCCTCCAACATCTCTCAACTTCTCATTGAAGCCATTGCTTCTCTCACCATTGTCCCTTTTCTCCCCCATGGGAACAACAATGCTTCATCCTGTGTCATTCTGTGATTATGCAACCAGCCCCCATTTACATCTGTTCAAAAAGCCACATGAAGACAGCCTCATGATGGTGCTTGTGCCAGCCTAAAAGGACCCAGGTCTCAAGTTGAGAAGTGGAAAGGTGACTTCCAATATCCTGAAACCTTCATGGATCCGAGATGGAAGGACCAGAGGGGCTGAGAGACATGGAGAATGCATAAAATACTTGCCCGGGGAACCACAGCTTGGTAGTGGCAGCAACAGAACTAGGATCCAAATCAGAGCTTTTCCCCCACTTCACGCACTCCCAGTTTTTACCCGGTTTCCAAGAGAAAATCCATAGCCCCACTTTGAAAACTGTTACTCTAGGTGTCGTCCTCCCCCGTTCGTGTCTGCCACATATGTGATGGCTGGTTACACTCAAGGGAGCCTCAGGTGAACACTCACTGGGAGAAGGAAGGAAAGTGAGATTCAGCTGCCGTTCATCCCCGTGCCCAGGAGCTTATGCTCACACTGGAGAAGCAAAACGTTTCCCCGACAGTTTTTACTGAGGCACTCTGGTGGGCACGAGCAAAGCAGTGAACTCAACAGACCAGCCCCCTGCCCTCACGGAGCTTCCAAGCTAGCGACACAGCCAAGTTCAGGCAGAGACCCCCAAGGGCACTGTGATGGGGCAGGTCCGGCCAGGCGGGGCGCCTCCCCTCCTCTACTGACTGGAGCCTGTGTCTTCTCCAAAGTATGATGGAGACGCTATGTTCTCCAGAAGGAGAGAGTGCAGAGGCCTCAGGAGAGCTTTTCTGCAAAGAGGGCATGGAGACGCAGCGTGGCTGTGTCCCAGGGACGCTGTACAGGACAAAGGCCAGGGGGGCAGGCAGCCCCAGAGAGCAAAGATTCCAATTGAGCTCAATGACTCAGGCCCCAAACCAAGCATGCAGCACCCTCTGAGCCCAGACCAGGAACTTGGATTTTATTCCAAGTGAGGAGAGGATTTTATTCTGGGGAAGAGACACCGTCTGACCACAGTTGCAAAGCTAACTGAACATAGAAGTCAGCATCTACGCAGAGACAAATGAGTGCACTGTGAAAATGAGGCAGACACAACTGAGAGACAGCTGAGATGCCGGCCGTGGAGGGGGCATGGGCAGGAGGTGCCTCAGGAGTGCCTAGGGACACTGCTAACCTGTTTGTTGTTTGACATTTCTGCCCACACATTTGCTTATTATGGTCTGGGAGTGGGAAGGGCAGGGGAAGCAACTTCTTAGGACCCTAAATTCACCTTGTATTTCCACCCAGAACTCAAACATTCAAACAAAGTAATTCTCTTAAAGATCTTGTTAGAGCCGATAACACATGTAAGGTGTTGCTAATTTGGAAAGAAGAGGAAAAGACTTCCAAAGAACATGAAAGAAATGAAAATATGCCAGGGGCAGAGCTGAGGCGATGAACTCACCCTACAGGACTCAAATGCACCGGCTGAAGTTCATTGTCACGTCAGGAGGGATCCAGAGCAGGAGGGAGAGGGAAGCATGTGGGAGCTGGCATGGGACTCTCTGCAAGTTTTCGCTTTATCCTGAGGAGCTACCACTGAAAAACACACCCGAGAGCAAGAGGCTGGGTGTGTCCATTCAATACCCTTTGGCTGTGACGTGGAAATTGAAACTTCACACAAAGCAGGATGTTTCCATGAGTCTGTTTCCCCCAAAAGGAGCCAAAAGCACAACTTTGTGTGTATGTTAAAATCCCCAGTTTTTGATTGTAACCAATTCAAACTTTCTTAAAATCCCTTGTGAACTAAAGAACACGTCTTTGTCAGTGTGCCGATGAGAAGCCAGTGTATGCTTAGGGCCACCCTCAGGCTGAGGCTACTTAACTCACACACATTTCCCAGCCTCGGAGGTGGGGTGGGAGTGGGGGGAGTCACAGCTTTCCTAGGGGCTTATCCAAGGACCTGTCCCCAAGCCAGCATACGTATTGCATGGTCCCTATGAGGCAGCAGCTCCTCCGCCTCTCTTTCAAGCAACATTGAAAGGTTGTCTGAAATTGACTGTCGATCTGATCATCACATAGGCTTGCACTCTAAGTACTGTTTTCTTTAGAAAGTTCATTTTTTTTTCCTTCGGAAGAACAGACAGCAAGGCAGGCCAAAGGGCAGCTTGGCATCATTCATTCTGAGTTACAGCCCTCCAGTTAGGAGCTTGGCACTCACAGAATCCTTAACAGAGCGCAGATGAAGGATGGTGGAGCAGCTTCCCAAAGTCCCAGACTTTTGAGAGCTCTTCAGACGCAACTCAGGCCCCAAGCAGGGGGTGCGTCCTGAGATCATCCCAGCCCCGGGCCAGCTCCGACCCTGTGTAGGGTCTCCGGTGAATTTCGCATTCTCTGCAGAGAGGAAGGAACGCTTTTGTCCAGGGTTTCCGGGGCTTCTAGAGGACAATTTTGTAAAATAGCCACTTCAAGTGAAGAAAGTGAAGTGCCTGGGCTACAATCTATCTGTGAAGGTGCCTCCCTTCCACATAGTCCCCGCGGGCGACAGAAGACTCCTTGGCCTGCGCAGCTTTCAGAGTTTACTGGCAGCCGAGAACCCAGGCTGTCTTTAAGCCCCAGGTCCCTCATGGAGCACTCCCAGGAGGGCCCTGATGACCAGGAGGAGGCCCTATCTCCTGCCTGGTCCTCTTGCTGCCCTTGCAGAATGGTGATGCTGTCACATACCCTGGAGCAGAAACAGGTGGCTCTGTCTCGGCTGGATATAAAAGTGAGCTTTGTTAGGAGAACAACTCATTGAAGAGGCTTAGATTCCCCCACTCAAGCATGTACCTGCCACATACCATTTATATATCAGCTTAAATTGTAGGACCTTTATCCATCTTACCAAAGCACTCTCTCACACACACTCTCATTTGCCCCCCCCCAAAAAAACCCTCTAAGGCAGAAGAAACTAATAGAATCACCCCTGTTTTGCCAATCAGGAAAGTGAGGTGAGATAAGGCTCCTTCACCAGTGTTATGAAAATAGAGACCTACAAGTTGAGCCCAGGGTCTCTCACGTGGGGCCAGTGCTTCTTCCCCACCCCCAGCCCCCACTTCACTTGGCAGCCTTTGGGTGCAGCTCCAAACCTGTTCTTAAATATTTGCAAGAAAATGCAACTGCCACATTGTCAAAAATTCTTTGCTATATAGGTGTTGTCACTTGGGGAAATGACAAAACAAAACCAACACTTGGAGGGAACCAGTGCAGAAGACGTGAAGGGCCACACGTGGTAAGCACACATGCCTGAAATGTCAGGTCCCTTTAAAACCCAAGGCAGATGTCACGGTAGCTGTAACCTACAGTCATGCAGCTTATGGGCCACATAGGTTTTCCCAGGAATGCTAGGGGGCTTGGGAAGGCGGCATCGGTTTTGTTCATTCCATTACTATGGATAAAGTACTTTCCCTGCCCGGTGTCCACCCAGGTTTCCAGCCCTCCTCATCCGTAGTTCTTATGCTTTGTATGAGGGGTGGAGAGACTGATCTTTGGCCCCCAGTTCTGGGGATGTGTCCCAGGCCCAGCCCACCAGGGTGCTTTCTCAACCAGGTCCCAGAGACTGATTCGGAAGGGAGCATGCATCCCAAGCCTGTCCAGCCAGACCTCTTCTTAGAACTTATGCTGCAATTATCAGAAAAGAAACAACTCTCCATGGCTTGGAGAATGAACTGTGAGGTTAGGGAAGCCATATTTGATTCCTCCTGCATACAGAGTCTGCTTGGAAAAGAGGCCAATGCAGAGAGAAAGTGAAGCTAAGAGATGGAGCAAGGGTCTTGATGGTGTTTGAGCCACCTGGATTTAGGCAAACTTGAGACTATTGCATTTCAAGACTTTTGAATGATCTGATCCAAGAAATTCCTTTTGCTTAAGCTAGTTTAAGTTGGGTTTCTGTCACTTGCAACCAGGAGTCTTGACTCAAAGCTAGCATTCATCAAAAAGCAAAACTTTGTGAATTGAAATAGCTAAATTATTAATTTGGAAGGGTATTTGATGTCCTGCTAGAAATATTGTAAAGGAAAATGCATGATAATCTGAGTGTACTTGCTATATTATAGTTGTTATCAATAGTATTGCTCATCAATAATCGTGGTATTCTTTCTTTTTTTGACACAATAGTAATCATGGTATTCTGAAAAGTGTTGTGTTGGTAGTTAAGGAGCATGGCTAGCAAAAACATGCCTAAGCATCAAGATGCTTGGACTTGCAAACAAAATAAAGAGGAACAGACTGCAGTGTTGTCCCATTCTTTCAACTCAGAGGAAGGAAGGAACTGAGGCAGGATTTTCAGTCATGTGTTCAGTGAAAATGACAAATGTTGTATGGGAGCAACTTTCGGCTGCGGATAAAAGAGAGGCAAGCAAGCTTGAGAATTTCCACACCTGCCCATCAGTTCCCCCTAGTAGCGATTCAGGCAGTGCTGTGTGGGCATGAAGCTTTCCCCCTAACCCATCCACAAGGATAAAGGAAGCCCTAGCCTGAGAAGTGATAAAACTCATTTTGCACAATGTTTCTCACTAGTTGTTTTGGGCTGCAGCAATTGTGGCCCCAGATCCTGCTGCCAACAAAAAATACCAGGTCAGTAAACCAAAGAGGGCAGGATCGGAGCCAAAGGTTATCTAGCACCTATTATTTCAGGGATGTAAACTTAAATCACAGATTGGTAAAGCTGAAGGGAGTCCAGGGATCATCTATTTCAACTCTCTTGTTTTAGAAACAGTGAGAGCAGAAACATTCTCTCAGTGTACCTCGGGCAAGTTTGTGGGCCCACAAAGGATGAAATCAGGGAGGAACCTATCACAGTGTAAAGAAATAAATTTAAAATGCTGCCATCTCCTGTTTACTGTCACACTTCTTTTTCAGATTCTTTTAACTGTGTGAACCATTTTGCACACAGATCATCTCCCCTAAAATCTTTGGAGGTCAGATCTTTACACCAAGAAAGATGCCTGCCTCCTGGGTGGATCGATCGGTCATCAGCGTCACAGGCCCAGAAACTCAGCGGTGAGGTAGCACAAGTTAACGCATCTCTTATCTGTGTAATGCACCTGCCCATCAACTCAAGTTCCAGATATGTCATGCTGTCACCCCACAGCAGCATGACCCCCAGACCCCAGTCCACATTTTCCCCCATCTCCATCAGGGCAACCTTTGGGAAAAGCTTGAATGACTGATATAATATCCCTTCCAGTGTTAAAATTCAAGGGAACCCAGTAAGACCTCCTCCTATTTATTCCCCTCCCAAAGTCACAGGGCTGCTTCGCCTAGGGCACAGCAGGGCAGTAAGTCTCTGGAATCACAGAGAAGAGCTCCTCCCTGTATTCCAGCTGCCCTTCTGCAAATCTGCTTTTAAGAAGCTGCTGCCCTGCCTAAGGGTCACATCTCTGAAGTATTCAGCTAGGAAGCAAACTTTTGTCATCCAATACTATTTTCCTGTAGATTAAACCAATCTTGCTAGCAGTGCTGTTATTTGGTCGGGTTCAACATGTCAGAAACCAACCGATAAATTATTACTATATACTATTTATAATACATAAGTAGTAAATTATAATATATTATTCAAAATAACTCAAAACCACTGATCAGGAAAAACTGGGAAGATTGCTGCCATGTTAACAGCTTTTTATTATTAGAACTTTTCAGAGTAAGAATGAGCCTGTGTATTTTCCCCACCATGTTTTAAAAAATTACTTTCTTCAACTAACTAGTGTCAGTACTCCAAGCACTTACACTCAAGCTCCGCGGGTGTAAGAGTGATCAAAACAGTAAAACAAACAAACAAACAAACAAAACCCCTGACTGCCCATGTGCACATGCACTCTCACATCCTTATATTCTACCAGGAACCACATATTTCTGATTTCAGTGCAGAGGGTTGTATGTCGGAGTTTGGTTAACGTCCTTGGAGGCATTGTGAGAAGCACAAAACCAAGAGTCTTCACCCTTTAAAAGTTTAAAAGTAGCTGAGGGGAAATCAGACACACAAAAACAATTACCAGTGAAAGACATAGGCTAAAGTAGTATGATCAGGGCCAAAAACGAACCCTTAAAATCATTCAGAGGAAGAGAAATCAGAGTTTAATGTAAGGAGGCCATAGGCTTGTTGAAGGGAGTTGGGAGGCACCTAGTGTGCAGGAGAGACAGCCCCAACCACAGTCCAAAAAGAGCTGGGTTTCTCCAGGGACCGCCTTGGCCAGAGTGTTAAATCCTGGTGCCTATGAGAGCCCCACTGCGATACTGTAGCATCAGCCCGTAAGACTCCAAGCCACCAAAACTTCCTAGCAAGTGAGCAAGGCGCAAATGAAGTCTTCCTCATGGCAGAATGCAGGCCAGCTTGCCCAAAGGAGAAATCTGGAGTTTGTTCACTTATCAGCTTTGTACCGCGTGTGCATTCAGCACTGGAGGAAGAAAACAAAGTCACCAATGGACAGACCTGACCAGAGAAACACCCATGCTCTGTGACCACGGCCCTGGACAGTGTAACTGGAGGCAGAGACCAGGCAGGGAGGCGCTGGGAGACAGGCGTGCTTTCCAGAATGTGTGCTCTTGGTGAGACCTGCAGGACCCCAGAGGCAGGCAGGGAGACAGTCCCCAGGAGGAGGAAGCATACAGTGATGTCAGGCAGGTAGTTAGCAGGGCAGTGCGGGGGCCTAAGGCCAGGGAAGTCTCCGAGGCCATGCAAGGGCTTGTGGAAGGAAGGGCCCCACTTTCAAATTCCAGCTGTTTTGTGAAGAGTAGAGTGGAGGTAGGCCACCCAGAAAAGCCAGTCGTCCCACTCACTTGAGAGCAGTGAGGGCCAAGTGACAGCTGTGGGAATTGGGAGGGAGCGTTCCCTCCTCCTTTCACACAGGTTGTTAGGGAACTGGGAGCCAAAATCATGGTCAAGTCCAACACCTCCGGCAGATGCTACTGCCAAGGGCAATGATCTCCTTGGGGAATACCTGGTCTTCCCATTTGTTCCACTGGCCTTTTAGTAAAGGACCAGACTGACTCCCACCTGGCTGTGCTCATGAGGGCCAAGTAAGTAACCAGAGTGTGCAGGGGCCACCTGACCACAGAGGTGGTGGAACAGGAGAAAACACCTGACCACAGAGGTGGAAGAACAGGAAAAACTTGTCCCTGCAGGTCGGGTCCCTCTGGTCCCACCCCTGCTCCTTGGGGTAAGCTTCACCCCACACCTTGCAGCTAAAGTGGAAGAGCACTCGCCCCTCCAGCTCTCCACCTTCTCAGCACCTTCCACCAAAGCTTGCAATGGGGAACTGTGACGCAAAAGAGGATAGAGGGTCTCAATGATGTGATATTTCCTGGGTCTTCACCCTGCCTCAGCCCCAGCTGCTTGCCAACAGCACCTGCTGGCTATTAGATTGCCGGCTGTCACAGCCTCTCCAACTGCCTCAGGTTCTAACTGTCCCCCCAGCAACTGTCACTGCCTGAGAATCTTTGGGGCCAGTGGTCGCATGGCCAACTCCCCCTTAACCTACTCAGTTCTCACTCCCAGGGCGAACCCCAGCTTTCTCACAGTTTCTAAATGGAGCTGAGGACAGGTGATGATCTCAATGAATGGGCCTCATCCTGTCTTAACAAGTGAGCCTTTGGAGGACCCCCCAAAGATGTGTGCCAAGGGCAGCTCAGGATCACACAATAACTATTTCAACGAATAACCCGCCAGAAGCACTGCTCTGACCCATGTGACCACCCACCCACTCCTTCCCCATGTAGGTGTGACTGGAGGCTAGTCCTGAGCCTGCAACCACCAGGGCCGTGATGTCTGGACCCAATGTCCAGAAATCCATCATTTCAAATTTTACACAGAACTGTGGGCTGCTATGCAACCAAGCTCCATCCTGAGGCCACCCTTTCCTCTTGTCACTCAAGGGATGAGCTCCGCCCAGACATGATGATGCTGTCTCCTCTTCACAGACAAATTTCTGGAAAGTTTTGCTCAGTTTCCTCCTTTCCTTCCATCTCTCCTGAGCACTGTTTGATCCCCGGCATCCTGACTTCCCCTGACCACTCCATGACCACATCCATCTTCTGTGGGAGATGCCCGAGCTTCTGCCCAGAGCACGGGAAGGTTTTATCCTCATCTTGGGATGCTCAGTCTTTAAACTCTGCGCGAGCTCTTGTGATGGTCAGGCCCTGTGATGCACCACAGGGCTTCAAAGCTGAATTCCAGGAGAGCCTCTTCCAGAGACCGGATCTGGTGGGCACCAGAGGCCAGGCTGCAGATGGAACACACAAGGGTACCAGGAGAGGCAGGGGGGACTTATCTAAAGAAAAAGAGCTTGAGTTAAAATCAGCAAGGATAAAGGGAAGGCCCCCAAATAAAGAAACCGGGGAACCGGGAAAGGCAAAAAAAAGAGAGAGAGAGAGAGAGAGCTTTCATGGCCAAGACCGTGCAGAACCCCAGGCCCAGACCCCCACTGGCTTGAGAAAAGGCCCAGGACTCAAACCTGAAAAGCCCTGGGTGGCACCCGTTTCTTGCCTCTGCTCTTCTCTGAACACTCATTTTATTCTTTCCTGTCTGGGGAATGACTGCCTCCTCGCTCCTCCTGGGCCTGCTTTCACACACACAAACCCACAGAGGGACAACCACAGCAAGAGGTGATAGACAGGGATACGGATGAGTAGCCTTCGACCTGGCCATACATCAAATGCTCTACCTCTGACCTCAGAAAGGCCCACCAGTCCCACTTCTCTTGCTCTGAAAACTTCTCTGCCACCAGGCACTTCTGGGGAAGACCTGCATGTCTGTGGGACTCCTTCTGGGCTGGGCTTGCTGCCTGGCACGGGAGAGTCTCTGGCTGGTGTCACTGGTGCACCTTCCAGGTGCTTCCTAAGGCTCCTTCCCTTCAGCTGGCTTCTGGAAGCAGAGTGCTGCCTGCCAGAACAGCGACTACAGTTCCCACCCTATTTCCCAACATTGGTGGCTGGGAGGAGAGGGACTGGGGGGGTTTGGGGTACTGCCCCACCAGCTGCCACCAGCTGCCGGGCCTCTGCCACAGTGTGTCAGTAGCAACAGACACTGTGGTTCTGGTGCAGGTGGCCCAGTTTCTGTGCTGGAACCCCCAGCCAAGCTTGCAGCTGGATGCACAGTCCTAGTGCATGGGCTCACCCCTCCCTCTGGACTTGTATGGGTGCATTTCTGAAACTGAAGGCTAGGGAGTGACTGTAGCACATCCCCCACCTTACCTCACCCATACACACAGGCATTTTAAGTAAACCCCTAATCTTCACACATACCCATTGCAGCATAGTGAGTGCCGATAAATAGGAGTGGAACCTGGCTCCAAGTGGCATCTTTACCCCTGCACCAAACACCCATCTCCCAAACTCAGCAAAGTTCTATTTAGAGACCTTGTCTCTCCCAGATTCAAGTGTTTGCTTAGAAACAGGCCTGGCCCTAGGGGTGTGCTGGTAAATCAGGACCTCTGAGGGGAAAGTCCTGAGTTTTCTAGTATTTGCTAATGTCCATGATATCGATTCTCCCACCATGGCCAATCTCAATACGTGGTGTGAAGTAACCTAAGTTGGCTTGGGTGGTTGGGAGGACTGGAAGGAAGCATAGAATGTAAACCACTCCCCATGAGCCTGGAGAGTCAGTCCAGAACACCCTCTCCCCTCCCCAGCCTCTTTCCTTGGGATACATAACAGCTCATGGCCCTAGGTGTGCTGGCTAGGCATCTCTGAGCTACCTATCCACAGTGACTTCATCATGCATGCCTGTGCAACCTCTCAGGTCTGATGACACTACATCATCTGCCTCAAGGCCTCACCGTCCTCTCCCTCTGGCTCTCACTGCACTGCCAGAGTTCCACCAGCAAACCAAGGCATGACTCCTTAATCTTCTCTCTCTCCTCCCAAAGCTCAGCAAGGGGTAGCAGGTAACATGGGGGAGTTCCCCACTCTCTTCTGGATGCCTCCTCAGCTCTCTTCCCAGCACACTGCCTCTATCACTCCTTCATTTGGGGCATCAAGATTAGAACAACTTTCATTCATTCATTCACTGAGATAGACTCTGAGGCTACAGAAAATTAGAAAAACCAGCTTCCTACTTCCATGGAGCTATTAGCAATACAGCCACGTTAAATCTACTGGCTCTTGGGAAAATATATCAAGCATAGGAAAAGACAGTTGCAAAATTCCAGAGGCAGGAATGAACAGGGACAGAAAAGCCCATAAAAGTGACTGACTCATGTGACGGAGGCATGGCAAGGGTCAGTGGTTAGCAGAAGGCACATAGTGCAGAGCACAAAAGCCAGGGCACAGTGCGTGTGGCATTTTTGTTCCAAATACCAAAGGAAACCACAAAAATGTTATAAGAAATGGAACGCATACAATTGGTTTATAGCTTTAAAATATTCCTAAAGCCACTTTGTAGTAGAAGCAGAGAGATCATTTAAGATTGAGATCCTATGGAAAACCAACTACAAGAAGGTGATCATTTGAAGTAGGAGTGATGTATTAGAGATGCACCCCAAAGGTGGAACGGACAGGTCTCGATCACTAATTTGATGTGGAACTTAAGAAAGAAATAAAAATGGCCTCCTAAGTTTTCGACCTGAGCCTTGAACAGCCATGATCTCCTTATCTGAGCTGGAAATGAGAGAGAAGAGGGAATTGGTGATGGGAAGTGTGCCTTTCATTTTGTACTTGTGAAAAGGAAATGGCCATTAGGCATACAAAGGGCAGTTTTAAAGAGAAGAGTCTGGAACCCAAGGAGAGAGGGGAAGATGTGGTAGAAATCTGGGAGTGATCAACATGAAGGACAGGTCTATACCACAAGCCTACTTTAAGCCGTGACCTGGGAGAGAGCAAGAGTTAGAGAAGGGAGGAGCTCTTGGAGCTGCACCCTGGACCCCCCACCATTCTGGGGCCAAGAGGAAGAATTAAAGACAGCAAAAGAGACCAAGAAGAGGCAGGGAGAGAAGGCACAGGGAGGGTTCACAGAAAGGAAGAGAAGCGCCACTTAAGAGCAGCATCAAGTGGCACTGCATCAATGATGCCACAGGACAGCCCTCTGATCCTGGCAGCAGGAATCCTGACAAGACCTGTTTCCATGGATCAAGAAGCAACTGGGACCTGAGTTTCTGTAGAGAATGATCTACTGAAAGCAAGGAACGTGTGGTGCAAGGAAGAGAGAGGAAATTGCAAGAGAGCAAGTGCTAGAGAGAGTGAGAGGAATGGCACTGGGACCATGTGGGGAATTAGCTGTTGATAAGGGAAGAGACACCGACCACCTACCAAGAGGAAGATAGAACATAGTGGCATCAAAAAAAATGCATTTGTACATGGCCGTGGGAAGATGAGGCTTCCCTCCACATTTTTACTAGTTTCTCCATGAGGTACGAAGCAAGATCTTAGACTTCACAGATTGAATATGCAGGACTGTCACGGACCATCTTGGGACTAGAAAATGATTTCTCCTGATCACCATGCGCACCTAGTTCAGGAAACTAAAAGGTATAAGTCAGGGCAGCAGATACCGCCGATTGAAGGCTGCATCTGGGCTACTGTGGAGTATTTGCAGCTGTGTGTGAGCCTAAAATTGTTGCTTCAGGAAGCTGAGTATCATTCCCAGGTGAAGCAAACTAGCCTTCTGTTTCTGGTGCTAAGACAAAGGTTGCCCTTTGTGGTGGAATGAGAAGGCCATGCCAAGGTGGCCGCTGGCAAGCGAGTGTCAGTTACTCAGGAATGGCTTTGAAACCCACCTGGCACAGAGCCCGACTGACGGCAGGCCGTGATTGCATGGTTTCAGAAACTGCCCGGCGACAAGAGCCTGACTGGCAACAGGCTGTGATTGGATGGCTTTGGAAACTGCCTGGCAACAGGCTGTGATTGGTTGGGGCATAGACTGCCCCTTGACCGGATTGGCTGGTCTTGGCTATATAAGCTGTTGTACTAACTCAAATAAATGAGCCTGCGGGCTGCGTGCCTCAGGCCTGCTTTCACCGGACTCCCAGGGTCTGTGTGGTGACTCCACGCCTTTTGCCCGCACCCCGCTCCTCTTCTCAGAAAGGAATCCACTGCAACATTGTTGAGAAATCAACTGCAACAGCCCTTAAATGAGTTCTCCATTTCCCAATTCTTGGTGTCTCAGATAAACAAGTCTAGTTTCATTGAGAGTGCCAAATGATAGTGTATTTTTAAAAAATGGAGTCCTAATAGGGCCTATTAGATGCAAGAGAATTTAGTACTTCTTCATCCTGATCTAGGAGAGTACTTCAAACAGTTTGTGGGAAGATGGAGTGAAAAGAGAAGTTCCAGGGCTGACATTTGGCACAGTGGTTATCACTCCACGTGGGACACCCACATTCCATATCAGAGTGCATGTGTTCAAGCTTTGACTCGGCTCCCGATTCCAGCTTCCTGCTAAAGTGCACCCTGGGGGGCTCAGGTTCTTGAGTCCCCACCACCCACATGGGAGATCTGGATTGCATTCCAGGCTCCTCTTGGCTTTGGCCTGGCCCCGCTCTGCCTGTTGCAAATATTTGGAAAATGAATCAGCCAACAGGAGATCTCTTGTCTGTCTGTTTCTCTTTCAAATAAACAATTTGTAAATAAATTAATTAAAGGTAA